TTTCAGACAAGATAAAGACATATTACGTTTCACAAAACGCAAAAATATACAGATCATAGATTGTTATTCACGTTTTCTAAAAATCCGCCCACCCCATGACAGACTAAGGAATCCTCCTTAAATTCAATAATTAAACAGACGCATAGCTAAACTATAGGGGGAGTGCCTATTAAGGGGGATCTTACAGAGCTGTCCCAGAGGAGGTTTACCTTTCACAAGATTTCTGTTGTCCTTAGAAGGGTGGATGGGTTTAAAACGTTTTTGTCTGATTTTCAATCTAAAAAAGGCAAAATGTTAAGGCGACACAGTTAAAGGCATGGCATTTAAATCGTGAATGGTGTGTTAAAATAGTACAATGGACAAGTAAGACCTTATTAAAATAATAGGTACAGTTTCGATCATCGCATTTGCATGTGCCAATACTTGGACATGATACAAGTATGCAAAATCCTCAAAGGCACTGACAAAGTCAGTCCAGGTGCAGAGACAGTAGTAAGGGAAACATGAACTAGAAGCCCCAGGTGGAAAATATGTGGAATTGTATCTAAAACCGAGACAGGAAACAATTTTTAGGCAGCGGCTGGTGGGATTATGAAACTATTTATCCACCATCTTGCAAAATCCATTTTTTTAATTTTTACTTCAAGAAACAGTTGAGTGAGATACTTGATTCAATTAGCTGATTAATTGCGGAAAAGCTCATGAATATGCTAGATGGGCCAAATCAATTGCCTCCTTTCGTTTGTAACCTTTCCAATGTTCTTATACTGTAATCTTTGCTCCCAGGAAAATGAGTGTATTCTTCAAATACACCACGAAAGTCAAACTTTGCACCTAAAGATTTGTGACGTCTGGTTACATACTACCACTTGATTGCATGAGGGAAAAATACATCCTTGATTTAAGTAATCAAAAAGCCATAATGCCAAAAAGTGACGTGAATTTTTGAGGTATTAGATACGTTATTGACCCCGTGAGGGAATTTGCAGATTTAAAATTTTGGGTGAGAGTGCGCAACCAGCAACACGATTAATGGACTAGTTCTAGGAAGACCGGTATATATCACGATGACACAGTTGTCATTGTGTTACTGATAATGTTTTCGGAATTAGATAATTTTATTTTAGTTTTTCAATTATTTTTCGCAGCGAGAATAGATCACTTTCATTACCAAAATACACCACGAGGTGTCAGTACTCTTCAAACATTCCATGTTCGTGAGTTCGTCACAGCAACTCGGAGTCTGTTTAATATTATCATATTTTAAATATAAAATTTTAAATATATTAAAGTCACACAGCTGACACCTTTAGGAAGGATTTTAAAATGAACAAATTTATCATTTGAAATCTATTAATAGATTTCAAATGCCTTTTGATACATGTTTTATGTATTGCAGTAGTACAGAGTTTTGTAGTATAGAAGCATATTTAAAGATACGTTTTTGGAAACTGTTCTATGGTCCAGAGACACACATAGAATCAGGATGCATTTTTGTCATTCTTGAAAGTGAATATGTGTTCTAGTTTTGATGCATTTTTCCTGAAAAATAAATACTTTTATTGTAAAAATATAATTATCTGTTATACTACAAAGTACACTTTAAGTACAACTATGTCCTGTTATTATAGAAAGATTTGTAATATATATTTATATATAATTTATAATATATTATATTATCCATATATATTATAAATCTATATTATATTAAATTCTGCATGAATATTTTATAAGTCGTTATGTATAAAGATTTTCTATATTTTTATAGAAATATGCAAACATAAAATTGTTTCACTCCTGCTTCTGAAGTTGTTGAATTTGTCATTGCCTATGATTATTCTGAGTACTTGAATCAAGTTCAATCATATTCCTTGCTGTATTAATT